GGCTGGAGTGCAGTGGCCGGATCTCAGCTCACTGCAAGCTCCGCCTCCCGGGTTTGTGCCATTCTCCTGCCTCAGCCTCCCCAGTAGCTGGGACTACAGGCGCCCGCCACCTCGCCCGGCTAGTTTTTTGCCTAATCGCTAGTGAATTGAGTGTTTTTCACAGATTTTTACTTGACAATTATTAATTATGATTTTTCCTAGTTGTGCTTTTTGCCTGCTTATTCATTTGTTTTCCTACTGATAAATGAGTGTTTTAAAAAATCATGTTCAGGATCCAAATTATTTGTTTGTTTTATAGGATGTCTTCATTTTTTCCAAACTGATGATTTATGCTGTTTTATTGTGTTCAGTATCCCCAATGCCAACAATTTAAATGTCAATTTAGTCAGTTTTCACTCTTATCAAATATTCTTATTATTTTTATTCATAATTTTATTGCACTATTTGGTTTTCAAAATATCAGTCAAATTATCTGCAAGTTAAAATGAAAATGCCTTTTCTAATATTTATATAGATTTCTTTAATTGAAATAGCTTTAGTTATCTCATATATTGGGAGTGATACCAGGCTTTCAGTCTTTTCCTTCAATTTAATGGAAATTACATCAGCAGTTCACATTAATCTAATGTTTCTTTTTGGTTGTGGGTGAATCATCTGTGTTGTATGTAAGTAGCTTCCTATGTTAGAAATGCCTCATTTTTTCTTTTCTTTTTTTTTCTACTACCCACTCATCTGTTACTCTTTTTTTAATGCCATTTTATTATCTGTTGCTATAGTCATATACTATTCCTCTTTAATTTATTGATATATTAATTGATATATTTCTTGATTTTTAAACATCCCTGGAATAAACCCTGGTTGGCCAAGGTATATTATTATTTTGATACCTACTCAGTTTCATTAGTTAATATTTACTTAGAATGTTTACATCTACAGCCAGGTGCGGTGGCTCACGCCTGTAATCCCAGGCGTGGGAGGATTAATTCCAATTCTTCGAATCACTCATTCCTAAGGTTCATAACCCAACTGTTTAAATGTAAACTGTCTTGTTTTGTTATTAGGTATTGCTGCATAACAAATTACCACAAATGGAGGAGGTTAAAAAACATACATTAATAGATTGGATTAATTGGATTAATTAATTCCTCCACCTTTGGGAGGCTGAGGTGGGTGGACCACGAGGTCAGGAGTTCAAGACTAGCCCAGTCAACATGGTGAAACCCTACCTCTACTAAAAATACAAAAATTAGCTGGGCATGGTGGCGAGCACCTGTAATCCCAGCTACTCAGGAGGCTGAGGCAGGAGAATCGCTGGAACCTGGGAGGCGGAGGTTGCAGTAAGCTGAGATCACATCACTGTCACATCACTGCACTCTGGGCTGGGCGACAAAGCGAGATTCCATCTCAAAACAAAAAAGAAGAAGAAGAAAGACTGTGGGATGGCAAGGAATGTAGTGCCGCATAACTCATTCAATGGGGCCATCAATCCCGTAAGTGTGAGGAACTGAATTACGCCAACAAGTACAAGAGCTTGGAAGAAAACCCTAAACTCCATAAAGGAACACAGCCTGGCTGATATCCTGATTGCAGCCTTGTGAGATCCTGAGCAGAGCACTCTTCCTCAGCCAAGTACAGACTCTAACCCATGAGAACTATGACATCATTAATGTATGTTTTTTAACCTCCTCCATTTGTGGTAATTTGTTATGCAGCAATACCTAATACCAAAACAAGAGAGTTTACATTTAAACAGATGGGTTATGAACCTTAGGAATGAGTGATTTGAAGAATTGGAATTAAGACTCCTGCATAACACTAGGTACTAAAATGGAAATAACTTCTTCCCTCCGTATTTACAAATTATGAGCCTTACTTGGGTTTGAGGTATGAACTTATTTGAGCTGCAAGGTACAGAAATATCAAACCAGGAATAAACAGAACTTCCCAACGACTGAAAATCATGGGGTACAAAGTGGGGAGGGGAGAGGAAGGGAGAGGCATCACTTCAATTCCACTGAAATTTTCCACACAGGAAACTTCAGTTATCATGAGCTCACAGTCCAAAGTTAGGAAACAGTCCAGAAAACAGTCCACTATGAGTAGACAACAATGGACAGAGCCAAATTTACACTTCTTCCTCTATCAGAAAATATTAATACTGCTTGGGGGTTATATTATAGCCCTTGTTAAAATATTAACGGACAACAGATATAGCAAATATGAAGAAAGGGCCGGGCGCGGTGGCTCAAGCCTGTAATCCCAGCACTTTGGGAGGCCGAGACGGGCGGATCACGAGTTCAGGAAATCGAGGCCATCCTGGCTAACACGGTGAAACCCCGTCTCTACTAAAAAAATACAAAAAACTAGCCAGGCGAGGTGGCGGCGCCTGTAGTCCCAGCTACTCGGGAGGCTGAGGCAGGAGAATGGCGTAAACCCGGGAGGCGGAGCTTGCAGTGAGCTGAGATCCGGCCACTGCACTCCAGCCTGGGCGACAGAGCGAGACTCCGTCTCAAAAAAAAAAAAAAAAAAAAAAGAGGAAAGAAAATACTGTTGAAAGCGCCAGAGAGGTTTGAAAAAGACGGGTTAGACCTTAAAGCACTTATCGGGTTTGGCACAGCGAAAGAAAATGAGTAATCTGACAACTACGTCAGAGGAAATTAAAAGAGAAAGTCAGATGGATAGAGAAAACATGAGAGGCCAAGAAGCAACGTTGTTGAATGAGCAGTGGCAACCGAGATGTATTGTAATTGGATGCTAGAAGGAAATTATAGATGGAATGATGGAGAAGAAGTAAGCAAAACGTTAGCATTTGAGAATTTTCTTCTTTTTTTTTTTTTAAGAGGCGGAGTCTCGCTCTGTTGCCCAGGCTGGAGTGCAGTAGCGCGATCTTGGCTCACTGCAACCTCCACCTTCCGGGTTCAAGCAAATCTACTGCCTCAGCCTCCCGAGTAGCTGGGACTACAGGCGCGAGCCGCCAGGCCTGGCTAATTTTTTTTGGTATTATAGTAGAGACAGGGTTTTACCATGTTGTCCAGGCTGGTTTCTAACTCCTGGGCTCAGGCAATCCACCTGCTTTGGCCTCCAAAGTGCTAGGATTACAGGCATGAGCCACCGCGCCCGTTCGAGAATTTTCTAGTATTGAAGAAAGGCATGATTCCCCAGGTGGCACAATAAAAACCAATTATATTCTGGACTGACTTCCGGAATGGTTAAGTGAGGAGTTTATGAAATCCTCTCCTCCTAAAAGCAATGATAAAAGTGTACAAAGTTGTCAAAAACCACTATTCAAAAACGCTGGAAGCTGATCAAGAGCATGGACACAATTAAGAAGCATTTGTTGAAAGCAAGTTTACTGACTCTTGGAAAGAACAGTGGGATCTGTGGTATTTTAGCCAGGTGCTGCTCCCATCCTGCCCGCCCCTCCCCTCAAGTCTACCTTCAGGCCTGGCAGTTCGACCGTACTACCAGAGGGGGCAGAATGGAGTTAGTAGCAGACATGAAAAAAATCCATGCCCTGAGTACTGCTGAAAACAATGGAGAACTCAGTGACAAACAATCAGAGAATTCTAATAATAGCCTGAGCTCCATACCGGTTAGCGTAATTAACAAAATGGCAGGCCAGACAGTTACAGGAAGAACCATGGAATGAGACAGCAAAAGAGGGCCTTGCTAAGATCCCACAGGTTCCTAGAGGTCTGGAAGGCTGTGCACATGCACACAGCTGTGGCTGCTCAGGAGAAAACCAAAAGGGGCCTGGCGTGGTGGTTCACACCTGTAATTCTAGCACTTTGGGAGGCTGAGGCAGGCGGATTGTTTGAGCCCAGGAGTTCGAGATCAACCTGCACAATGTGGTGAAACCCTACCTCCACAAAAAATTAGCCAGGTATGGTGGTGTCTGCTTGTAGTTCCAGCTACTCGGGAGGCTGAGGTGGGAAGATCACTTGAGCCTGGGAGGTCGAGGCTGCAGTGAGCTGTGATTGCAACAATGCACTCCAACCTGGATGACAGAGAGTGAGACCCTCCCTGTCTCAAAAAAGTCCCCAAAATAAAAACAAACAAAAAACACGGGATACTTAACTTTTATTTAGGGGCTCATATAAAAAGACTTATAATCATATACGTATACATATAATCACCTTTAAGGTGATTAAAAATCTAACATTATGAACAAAACAAATCAACAGATATAAAAAGCTCCATACATTTTCAAAGACAAGTTCTATTTCTTTTTTTAAGGAACTGATATGACGTATCAAATATGTAAAATATAATACAGAAGGAAATTAGAATATAATCTCATATATAAATATAGACGCAAACTTTTTTTTTTTTTTTTTTTTGAGAAGGAGTCTTGCTCTGTTGCCCAGCCTGGAGTGCAATAACGCGATCTTGGCTCACTGTTACCTCCGCCTCCCGGGTTCAAACAATTCTCTTGCCCCCCAAATAGCTGGGACTACTGGCGCCTGCCACCACGCCCAGCTAATTTTTGTATTTTTAGTAGAGACAGGGTTTCACTATGTTGGCCAGGCTGGTCTTAAACTCCTGACCTCAGGTAATCTGCCTGCCTTGGCCTCCCAAAGTTCTGGGATTACATAGGCGTGAGCCACCATGCCCAGCCAGATGCCTCCAAGACCTTCTAAGGAAAGGAATAGTAGCCAAAGAGAAAGAGTACCAGGGCAGACTTTTCTACAAAAAGGTGATCAGATACTGGCCCTTGCCCTCTAAAGGTTATACTGCACTGACTGAAAAATTGTCCCCTTTAGGACAAAGGGCATCGGTTTTCTCTGGCCACTTTCCAAGGGATTCTAGGCTTGAGGAGGAAGAGAAGCTAGAATATTTGTTACAGCTGAGAAATGTCACTTTATTCAGTATACAGTAGCAGGTTTCTGGAGCTGAATGAAGATGAGTCTTCATCTAGCTCCACCTCAAAGCAGGGAACAAGTAAGGAGGCTTAAAATCTGTGGCCCAGGCTCATTTTCCCATAGAATCCCAAAGTCCTAATATTAAGCCCAATCATAGTAGGAGTAGGAACGCTGGGCAGCCTCTCAATACGGTGAGGACTGACTTGCGGTAGGCTTTTCCAGGCAAGTTGTAGGAAGCCATACTGGGCAATGCCCTCAGGTTGGATAGTATGGACATTGTTCTGCCCAGGGAGGGGTACCACATCCTGGAACTTGAGGGGACCTGCAGGGTCATGGGAATGACCACAAAACAGGTGGTAGAACAAACGCTCACCATATGCCAGCTCCTTGGTCTTCAGGGCATTTTTGTAGATGGTCTCTTGGGGTTGAAGTTCCTCTCTCTGCAGTAACTCTAGTAGAAGCCTCTGGATTCTAGGGGACTTAAGTTGGTACAGGTCCATGAGCTGGTAGAACTGTTCCATCCAAGCAGCACTGTCTTTTGCATATCGCTGCTGCAGCATCCGCAAAACATGGTACAGTGCCACAAACGTCTCCCACAAAGGCATCTCTTCCTTCTTTTTAGAGATGGATTGTGCCTTCTTCTCCAACTTGGGCAATTTAGGGGGCCTGCCCTTACCCTTAAAAGCCCCGAGATCCTTCTGAAACATTAGTGCTAGAGTTTGTTTGTCCACAGAGGCATGGGCACCTGTGAACATGTCTCTTGTGGCAGGATAAAAATGTTGCATCTCCATCTCTTTGAGGGCATCAGATAACCGTTGTACCTGCGCACTCCTGTGAGGCTCTTCCAAAAGATGCCAGTTCATAGCCTTCGGGACTTGAATCCTCTTGGTAATTGGTGGTATCACTGGAGCAGGGATGGGCAGTGCTTCCTCCTTTGCCGAAGGGTGAGATTTGGAGATCTCACCCTTCCTCCTCAAGGCTGGGAAGTCCTTCTCAAATACCAAGGCTAGAGATTTCTTATCCACAGAGGGACAAACAGCTATAGGAACATCCCTTGTGACTGGATAAAGGTGCTTTATCTCCTTGAGAGCAGTGGATAACTGTTGTGCCTGCTTCTTCCTATGGGACTCAGCTAAGAGATGCCAGCTGACAGCCTGTGGGGTCTGAGTCCTCTTGATGGCTGATGGTAATACTGGTTTGGGCACAGAGGACAGCCCCAACCATTTCTGTGTTTCTTTTTTTCTAATTGGAGGGATCTCTTTTAAGTGCACCGGACTCAAAACTTCCTTACAGAGTTGTAATGTATCAGTGGGACTTAACTCTAGGTTCTGCCTGAGATGTTTAGCAATGACCTTAAGATTGGACATACGCATCCATTTCAAGTGTCTCTTTGAAGTAAAGTCTCTGAGGATCTGACTCAGTCGATGAAAACTGTCCCTGGAAAGTTGCTTTCCTGCTTCCAACCTTTGTAAGGCATTGTTAATCCAATCCTCGTCTGAGAAGCTTGCTTCTGAGAAGGCCAGCCTTCGATATCTCCTATCTGGCATTTCAGGTGAAAAGGCTGGGACTGGAGCTGGAGCCTGACCCTTAGTTTCCCCCATCAAAGAATCCTGATACCCCAAGAACCACTTCCATCTTTCACCTTTGTGTCGGTGTTTAGGTTTGTGTGGTTCCATGGAAGTATCAGATAATTGAAACTCTGGCCTGTGGAGACCTTCTGGGACCTGGGTCTCTAAGCCTGTTTCCATGGCTTGTAAAAACATACCCCTGGCTTTCTCCAAGAGTTCATTCTCTTCTCTTCCCAGTGAACTTGTCATGGGGTGTACTCCAAGAAGTTGACGGCCCTGTCTGTTTTCAGAATCCAAGTGATCCTCTAACACTTTCAGGGGTGTTCCCTCTTTTTCCTCCAGGGTTACCTGGAATGGTATTTTGGAGGGGCTCTTCAGAACTGTTGGCCACATAGCCTTGTCCATAAGTCTGGAGTCTCTCCTTACATCAAGCAAGCCCTCTTTCTTAAAATGCATTTCTCCTTTAGCTGTACCCTCGCTTTCCTCAGCAAGATCCTCACCTTCTATCACCAGCTTGGATAATCTCACCTCTTCCTTTGGGAACTTTGTTTTCAATACTCTCTCCTCTTCTGAGAACATTGCCTCCATAAGTCTGCTCTCCTTTTCCTTCTCTTCACTCAGGCTTTCCACATCCTTCTGCCTTTCCTTCTCCTCCTTCTCTTTTTCCTCCATTTCCTCTTCCTCTTCCTCTTCACTCAAGCTCTCCTCCTCCTCACTCAAGCTCTCCTCCTCCTCACTCAGGCTTTCCTCCTCCTCCTCACTCAAGCTCTCCTCCTCCTCCTCACTCAAGCTCTCCTCCTCCTCCTCACTCAAGCTCTCCTCCTCCTCCTCACTCAGGCTCTCCTCCTCCTCTTCAGTCAAGCTCTCCTCCTCACTCAAGCTCTCCTCTCCCTCCTCACTCAGGCTCTCCTCTTCCTCCTCCTCACTCCAGCGCCCCCACTCCTCTTCGCTAAGGCTCTTCTTTTCTTCTTGTGGGCCCTCTTTTTTCTTAATCAGCCTCTCTTTCTCTTTAGTCAACCTCTTTTCCATTTTCCTTTTTTGAGTCAAACCCTCTTCCTTTAGCTTCTTAGTCAAGTTATCCTCCAATTCCTCTTCACTCATACTTGCTTTCTTCTTCTTAATCAGATGTTTCCTTTTCTCTTTCTTGGGCAGAATCTCCTCCTGTTTCCCTTTCTTAATTAGACCTTCCTCTGTTTCCTTCTCAGTCAAGCCCTTATATAAGTCCTTTAATAGTATAATTCTGAGATTATCTAATAACCACTTCATCTGAGTCTTCTTTAGTTCACGCTCCTCAACTTTCTTCAGAAGCTCCTCTACCTGCCTTTTTTCTAACAAATTTGTCTTCTGAAACTCCTTTAACATAGTCTGTACCTGGATTTTATTGAATAGTATATTTTCCTGGACCTCCTCTAATAACTTTTGGTCCTCCTCCAAGCTCTCTTTATCAGTTAGCATTCTCTCTTTAGTGACCAGTCTGTCTACTAGTTTCCTATGTTTCTGAGCCTGTTCCTTCTCTTCTTTAATTAATTCCCTCTGTTCCTTAAAAAATTCCCACCTGTCGCCATCAATTTCACTCTTTTCTATAATGGATGATGTCTCTCCCTCAGTTATTTCTCTTTCTTCTGAAGGAACTGTAACCAATTCTCTAACTATTCGTGCCAGGATCCCAAACAGTTGATTCTCTTTCATTCTTATATTTTCTTCCCTGAAGCGAGCCTCTTTCTCTTCAGAACCAATCCCTTCTTCCATATCCAGTTTTCTCATTGCCTGTTTTCTTTCCTCTTTGGTTTTCTTTTTCTTCTTGGCAACATCTCTCTCCTTGGTCATAATGTCATAGGCCAGTTTCCTGTCTTCCTGGGACAATTTGCCCTCTTCTTTCATAATTTCTTTCTCTTCCTGGGTTATTTTTTTCTTTTTCTCAGTTATGCCAATTCCTTCCCTGGCCATTGCCTTTTCTTTCTCAGCAATATCACTCTCTTTCTTGGCCAGTTTACTGTCTTTTGGGGCTTGTCTCTTTGCCAATGGCCTTTTCTCTATTTCCTTGGCCTCTTTCTCTTTTTCCTGGAACTCTTCCTCCATTTCACCAGCCTGTTCCTCCTCTTCTAAGGACAATTTCTCTTTTTTCCAGACTCTTTTTTTTGGCTCTACCTCTTTCTTCTTTTTCCAGGCCCGTTTCTTGTCTTTCTGACTCCATACTCTCTCTTCGTGGGCCAGTTTCTCCTTTTGTAAGGCTAGTTTTTCCTGAATCCATTGTTCTTCTTCCTCAATTGCTTTCTCATCTTTCTCAGTCTGTTTCTTCTTTTTCTTAGCTTTTTTCTCTTTTCCTATGGTCTGTTTCTCTCCTTTTGGGGACCCTTTCTTGATTTCCTCTGTGATTTTTTCCTCTTCTGAGACCCGTTTTATTTTTTCTCTGGCCCATTGTTTTCTTTTCTCAGCTTCTTGCTCCATTTTTTGAACTAATTTCTCTTCTTCTTGTGACAATTTCTCCAGTTCTCCAAACTTTTCATTGTCTTCTAGGTACAGTTTCTTTCTTTCCCAGGCTAACTGTTTACTCTTCTCTTTTTGAGCCTGCCTCTCTGTTTGGTCTTGTTCGTCCTGCTCCCCATAAAGGGCCTCTTTGCCAAACCATTTCTCTTTTTGGATTAATTTACTCTCTTGCTCTGCCAACCTCTCCCTTTCTAATGTCAGTTCTCTCTCTTTCCCAGACAGTCCTTCCTCTTCTCTAGACCAATGATCCTGAACCAGTTTCCCCAGTTCCCAGGCCTCTTTCTCCTCTTCCTCAACATGTTTCTCCTTTTCCCAGATGTGTTTCTTCCTTTCTCCAACTTGTTTCTCTATGTCTAGGATTAGTGCTTCCTTTTCCTCAGCCACTTCCTCCTCTTCTTCAGCCACCTCCTCCTCTTCCCCAGCCACCTCCTCCTCTTCCTCAGCCAGCTCCTCCTCTTCCCCAGCCAGCTCCTCCTCTTCCTCAGCCAGCTCCTCCTCTTCCCCAGCCAGCTCCTCCTCTTCCCCTGCCACCTCCTCTTCCTCAGCCAGCTCTTTATCTTCCTCAGCCAGCTCCTCTTCCCCAGCCAGCTCCTCCTCTTCCTCAGCCAGCTCCTCCTCTTCCCCAGCCAGCTCCTCCTCTTCCTCAGCCAGCTCCTCCTCTTCCCCTGCCACCTCCTCTTCCTCAGCCAGCTCTTTATCTTCCTCAGCCAGCTCCTCCTCTTCCCCTGCCAGCTCCTCCTCTTCCTCAGCCAGCTCCTCCTCTTCCCCAGCCAGCTCCTCCTCTTCCTCAGCCAGCTCCTCCTCTTCCCCTGCCAGCTTCTCCTCTTCCTCAGCCAGCTCTTTCTCTTCCCTAGCCAGCTCCTTCTCTTCCCCAGCCAGCTCCTTCTCTTCCCCAGCCAGCTCCTCCTCTTCCCCAGCTAGCTCTTTCTCTTCCTGGGCCCTCATGCTTTCCTCCTGGGCCTGCATCTTTTCCCATTCCGACCTTTCCCTTTTCAGGATTGGCTGCTTTTTCCTGATCACTTTCTTTCCTTTCCCTAGTAGTTGTCCCCTTTTTCCAGTTAGTCTTTTTTCTTCTAGGACTAACTTCTGATCTTCCATAATTAATTCCTTTTGTGGGGAAGCACGTATTTCTTCTTCCTGGGCCATTTTTTCTTCTGGATGGGTCAGTTTCTTTTTATCTTTGGTTGGTTTCTTCTTTCTCTGCATTTTTTCCTCTGGTTTTGTCAGTTTCCTTTCTTCCTTAGCTATTTTCCTTTCTTGCTTGGCCAGTTTCCCCATTTTTCTTTTAAATTTCCTTTTCTCCAAGACTAAGCGATCTGCTGGGAAAACAGCTTTCTTTTTCTTTTCTTCTTGAGAAAATTTCTCATCTTCCTTTAATGCTTTTTTATCCTCTTGTTCTGTCAATACTCCTGTCCTTTTGTCCTTGACACCCCCTTTAATGACTTGTTTGGTTATGGTGGGTGTTTCTTCCAATACTCTGTCATCTAATTCTAATGAGACTGAGCTTGAATCCTTTAAAAGGGGGCATATCTCTTGGAAGAGATTCCAGCTGGGCTGTCGGTCAGCAAGTATCACCCCAGCCAGGCCTACCAATTCTTTGCCCAGATCCCTTAACATTCCTGGATGGGAACTTGCTATCCTTGAAGTGACAAGAGAGCAAATGTCATCCCTCCAAGATCTGGTGTCCGGTCTACTTGCATGTCCAGGGGTCCCGGCCAAACCCCGGGTCTTCTTCTTTTCACTTTTCTTCCATTTACCTTCTTCTTGCTCATCAATTTTTATGACATCTTCCTTAGGTTCTTCTGTAGTCACCTCTGAAACATCCTTCAAATCTTGTTTCTCTTTCCACTGCACATCGGCTATTCTGTGGCTTTTTCTCATTGCCTTTTTCCAAAGCCTTTTAATGTGTTCTTTTCTTTCCAGCTTAGAGATCACGTCTCCATAATCTTTCATGCTACCTTGATCTATGGCTTCCATGGTGTCTGTGGCCTCTAGGGCTTCTGTGGCCTCCATGGCCTCCATAACTTGTAAAATGACCTCGTTCTCTGTTTCAGCATAATCCTGGGATTTGACTGTGCTTAAAGAACTCAGTGGTAGCTCTGGCTGTAAGGTAACATGTTGGGTTTCAACTTGCTCTGATTTTCTGGCCTCTCTTTGTTCACCTGCATCTTCTGAAGGCATCAACATGGAAACAGACTTTCCCAACTTTGTCTTTCTGTGCTTCCTGGCAACTCTCAGGTCCTTTTTAACTGCAGAGATATTGGGAGAAAAACAGTTAACAGAAACACAGAGGTATTGAGTAAGATCCTTTGTAAAATCTAATTCAGTGAGCTACCATAAGAGATACAAAGCAGGGGGACTGAGGCTTTATGATATGGAAATGCATGGTTTCATCCCGCCATCCATATTCTAATGAAATAAGAGCTTGGTATTAGCTGTGGGATAGATCTTTCTCAGGAAGGTCATTTTCTGTGAATAAGATTCTCCCACTGAACTCCATTCTCACTAGTATCCTTTCATATACCTTGGCCTCATTCACCCTGCATTTTGGGGCCCTGAGGTTGGCCCCAAACATGTTCCATACATCACCCCATACATACTAAGCTTTCTGCTCCTTTCTTGAAAATGTCTCTTTCTTTTCTTTGGTTTGGTGATCTTTACAGTTTCTGACAAAGGTACGAGCATGTCTTTAGAAAAGACCTTAAGTTCTTCAGACCATGGTATATCAAAAGAAAAAGTAAGTGACTTTTCTCTTTGTAACAAGGTCAAGTTTTCATTTAGCTGCTGCTCCACATGAATAAGCAGGGACTGTATATCTTCAGCTTGAATATTCAGCAGTTGTCCCAGAGTGATTTCCCCGATAATTTCTTGCCTATATAAGTCAAGGGAAAAGAAGGACAGTACTAAGCTAGTGATAGAACAAAATTCAAAAAAAAACAAGAAGTTACAATGGAAGAGAGGGATAAAGTAGTAATTTAGAACAGGCTGAAGTAAAGTCTGGTTAAAGAAGAAAGAATGTGGCTGGACACAGTAGCTCACGCCTGTAATCCCAGCGCTTTGGGAGGCCGAGGTGGGTGGACGACTTGAGGTCAAGAGTTCAAGACCAGCCTGGCTAATATGGCAAAACCTCATCTCTACTAAAAATATAAAAATTAGCTGGGCATGGTGGTGGGCACCTGTAATCCCAGCTATTCAGGAGGCTGAGGCAGGAGAATTCCTGGAACCCAGAAGGCGAAGGCTGCAGTGAGCCAAGATAACATCACTGCACTCCAGCCTGGGTGACAGAGTGAGATTCCATCTCAAAAAAAAAAAGGCTGAAGGATGGCAAGGAATGTAGTGCCACATAACTCGTTCTCTTGTGCTTTGCTTTATTGTGCTTCACAGACACTGTGTTTTTTACAAAGGGAAGGTCTGTGGCAGCCCTGCCTAGAGCAAGCCTGTCAGCATCATTTTTCCAACAGCGTGTGCTCGCCTCTTGTCTCTGTCACAGTTTGCTAATTTTGACGGTATTTCAAACTTTTTCATCATTATTATTGTATCCATTTTGGTGATATGTTATCAGCGATCTTTGAAGTGACTATTTTACTTGTTTCACGGCACCATGAGCCGCACCCATGTAAGACGGTGAACTTAATCAATAAATGTTGTGTGTATTCTGACTGCTCTATTAACCAGCCATTCCCCCATCTCTTCTCCTCAGACCTTGCTATTCCCTGGGACACAACAATATTGAACTTAGGCCAGCTAATAGCTCTACAATGTCCTCTAAGTGTTCGAGTGAAAGGAAGAGTCACATGTGTGTCACTTTAAATCAAAAGCTAGAAATGATTAAACTTAGTGAGGAAAGCATGTTGAAAGTCAAGATAGGCAGGAAGCGAGGCCTCCTGTGCCAAACAGTAGGCCAAGTTGCAAATGCAAAGGAAATGTTCTCGAAGCAAATTAAAAGTACTACTCCAGTGAACACACAATGATAAGAAAGCAAAACAGTTTTATTGCTGATGTGGAGAATGTTTTAGTGGTCTGGATAGATCAAACCAGCCACAACGTTCTGTTAAGCCTAAACCTAATCCAGAGCAAGGCCCTAACACTGTTCAATTCTATGGAGGCTGAGAGCTGAGGAAGCTGTGGAAGAAAAGTTTGAAGCTAGCAGAGAATAATTCATGAGGTTGAAGGAAAGAAGCTGTCTCCAGAACATAAAAGTGCAAGGTGAAGCAGCAAGTGCTGATGGAGAACCTCCAGCATGTGATCCAGAAGACCTAACTAAAATAACTGATGAGGGCGACTGCATTAAATAACAGATTTTCATTGTAGACAAAACAGCCTTCTATTCAAAGAAGATGCCATCTAGGACTTTCATGGCTAGAGAAGAGTCAGTGGCCGGCTTCAAAGCTTCAAAGGACATGCCATATCCTGTTAGGGGCTAATGCAGCTGGTAACTTTAAGTCAAAACCCGTGTGTATTTGCCATTCTGAGAGTCCTCGAATCCGGAAGAATGGTGCTAAATCTACTCTGCTCATGCTGTATAAATAGAACAACAAAGCCTAGATGACAGCACATCCCTTTATAGCATAGTTTACTGAAGATTTTGAGACCCACTGCTGAGAAAGATAGATCATTTTCAAAATATTACTGCTCACTGACAATGTGCCTCATCACCCAAGAGGTGTGATGGAGATGTATAAGGAGATTAACGTGGTTTTTCATGCCTATTAACACAACATCCATTCTGCAGCCAATAAATCAAGGATTAATTTTGACTTTCAAGTCTTATTTAAGAAACACATTTTGTATGGCAATAGCCACCATAGGTAGCAGTTCTTCTCATGGATCTAGGGAAAGTAAACTGAAAACCTTGTGGAAAAGATTCAACGTTCTAGATGCAATTAAGAATAGCTGTGATTCATGGGAAGAAGTCAGGTATCAACATGAACAGAAGTTTGGAAGAAGTTAATTCCAACCCTCATGGATGACTTTCAGAGGTTCAAGACTTCGGTGGAGGAAGTAACTGCTGCAGTTACTTGTAGTGGAAATAGCAAGAGAAATAGAATTAAAAGTGGAGCCTCATGATGTGACTGAATTGCTGCAACCTTGTGATCAAACTGGAATGGATGAAGAATCTACTCCTGGTGAAGATGCTTTGAACATTGCTGAAAAGACAAAGACATTAAAATATTACGTTAATTTAGTTGATACAGCAGTGGCAGGGTTTGAGAAGACTGACTCTAGTTTTGAAAGAAGTTCTATTTGAGTAAAATGCTATCCAACAGCACCACATGCTACAGAGACAGCTTTCATGAAAGGGAGAGTCAACTGATGCAGCAAACTTCTTTGTCTTATTTTAATAAAATGTCATACCCACCTCAACCTTTAGCACCCACCAGTCAGCAGCCATCAATATCAAGTCAAGACCATTCACCAACAAAAAACATGACAACTCGCTGAAGGCTCAGATGATCATTAGCAATTTTTAGCAATAAAGTATTTTTAATTAAGGTATGTGCATTGGTTTTTTTTTAAGATGAAACTTCGCTCTTGTTGCCCAGGCTGGAGTGCAGTGCTGCGATCTCGGCTCACTGCAGCCTCCGCCTCCCGGGTTCAAGTGATTCTCCTGCCTCAGCCTCCTGAGTGGCTGGGATTACAGGCGCCCAGCACCACACCCAGCTAATTTTTGTATTTTTGGTAGAGACAGGGTTTCACCATGTTGGCCAGGCTGGTCTGGAACTCCTGACCTCAGGTGATATGCCCGCCTTGGCCTCCCAAAGTGCTGGGATTACAAGTGTGAGCCACCGCGCCTGGCCTGTGCATTGATTTTTTTAGATATAATGCTACTGCACACTTAATAGACTACAGTCTAGGGTAAATATAACTTATATGCACTGGGAAACCAAAAAATCCATGTAACTTGCTTTACTGCAGTATTCACTTTATTGCAGTGGTCTGGAACGAAACCCACAATATCTCTAAGGTATGCCTGTAGTCAGTGGGACACATGATGCTTCTTTGGTTGGGAGATTTGCGGACATGAGTCTTGAGGAATCTTGAGAAATTGAAGAAATGATGGAAAGACAGGCTAGTCAGCGGTCAGAAGGAAAGGGGTAGGTGCTGAGTAAAAGAGCAAATTGAAACAAAGAACAAAGTGGGAATTTATTTATTTATTTATTTATTTATTTATTTTTTGAGACTGAGTCTCACTCTGTTGCCCAGATTAGAGTGCAGTGGCACCATCTCAGCTCACCACAACATCTGCCTCCCAGGTTCAAGCGATTCTTGTGCCTCAGCCTCCTGAGTAGCTGGGACTACAGGCATGCACCACCACACCCGACTAATATTTGTATTTTTAATAAAGACAGGGTTTCACCATGCTGGCCAGGCTGGTCTTGAACTCCTGACCTTGGGTGATCTGACCGCCTTGGACTCCCAAAGTGCTGGGATTACAGGCATGAGCCACCATGCCTGGCAAGAATAGAATTTAAAAAGGATTTTAGAAATGGGAAGACACAGTCAGATACTGGAGGATAGGAGATGGAAGGAACCAGAAGAAGAGAAGGTCACCATCCAACTTACTGCATTTTCTGGAGAGTTTCTTGTTTCTTCAGCAGTTGTACCAGCCTGGTCTTGGTTTGGATGCCTGTGACTCTTACCATAAGGTATAAGGCCTTAGCCCGCACATTCTCATCACTGTCCATCAATCCCATAGTCAGTGGAATAGCAAAATGATGGTTCATGAGGCCTAGCCTATCCAGTACCTCCCAGGCTAGCTCACGAATATGTGGATTGGAATGGGTTGTATCTTGCAGGAGGCGATAGGCAGTCTTAGAAACCGACTCTGAAGATATCTGGCAAGTGGCAAAAATACGTTTAAGTACCCTAAAATATCTCTTGTATTCCTCTACAGAGCAGTAAATTGTGAGGTTGAGGATGGCCTCTATTAAATCATCCATAAGCCTTCCACTATAGTTTCTTCTCATCCAATTTTGGTTTGCCATGCTTTCAAGAATATCAAGGGAAGTTCCTTTTCGCTCCTTGGATTTATCCTTCTGTTGACTCCTTGACATTTTCTCTTCTACTAGAGTCATAGATGACAAGTCCCAGTCCTTAACTTGGTAGGATGAATACAGATCACAGCATAGGAAGACTGGGGTACCCTCAGGCCAAAGGCGGGCACGGATCACTGAGTTAGGGATGTAGCCATCGGGAGCAAAGGGCCATTGCCGCCCTTGACCAAAGAAGCACCGTAGCATTTGGTAGGCATTGAATCCATCCCAGCCAGCCAGCTGCAACTGAGCAGGAACCTCATGTCGGGGACGATTATGCTTGGAATCAAGAGTAGAGAAATCAATATCCTTAGCCTCAAACGAAGGAAATTTGGTCTTTTGAATCACAAGGGACATGCTTCTCTCTTCTTCTACAACATGAGGCACAGTATTGTCGAAGGCAATGAACCGTTTGTTGACAAGGGTCTCTAGCCCCTGTAATTCCTGCCGCCCTCTTCCAAGGTAGACAAATCTGGGTACAAATACTGTTTCAAACATAAAGAAGAAGCTAGGAAGGAAGGGTTTAGGGACTTCTTGTATTTCATCTGCATTTTTTAGGATACGCAGGTGAACCAGCTGAGCTGGAGGGAGAAGCTTTAAGCAAGATACTATGTAGATACTCTGGTTGAAAGTCAACAACAGGTCACCTCGATTATTGGCAAAGCAGAGTGGGCCAAAATGCAGGGCTGAGTCGATCTCGGTTACAAGTCTACCGTGGAAGTCCCAGATCCGGACTGAGCCATCAATGCCACCTGTGACAAAAAGTTTCAGGGGAAGGCAGACATCAAATGAAGTGATGTCACACTCATGCAGGCATTTTGTCTCTCTCCACACAAAGCTCTGTTTTGATTCTGAAGATGTCAGAGAGCCTTCATAGTGCCAGAGACGCCAGCAGTAGCTTTCAGTGATGGCACCCACAGAACCTGGCAAGAGTATCACATGTTTTAGGGGGCAGCCACAGAGGATTTTGCTGACAGGCTGAAGGACTACCTTGTTCACCTGAAGCACGGCCTCTGTCAAGTGTATGATGTTATCCATGCCATAG